GTGCGGAGTTTTCTCATAAAAGCCGCTTTTATTAAAAAAAAGGGCACACCATACCACATTTAATTAAGCAAGTAAAATATTGTCACAGTGAAGGCGTGATTGGAGGATATAGGAAATGTGGATAGGCCAGGGCAGAATAGGAGATACCATAACCGTTTATCACACGTTTGGTCAAAGGATCGGCTTAACTTGTCTCTTTGACGAGTTTGTAACATGGTGCTACGAATGGTAAAACTCACTGACGATGCCGGCAAAACGTCTGGGAATGTACCGCGTCCACGGTCCGACTTTGAAAATAATTATGCATACAATGGACTCCGGACAAGGTGCTTTCCTATTAGTCTTCCTACAAATATGACCAAGTTGCGAAAACAAAGTCAAACAATTTCTATACTACGGAAGGAGACTGCGACCACAAAAAAAAGGCCACACCATCTTGGTCTTATACTTTCGAATAACAAATATATCCTTTTTCATAAAAAGCAAAGCACAGGGACGATGAGCTGATAATCACGTATAAGGCAAGAGAACAAGAACAATCGGCTAGTACAATGAATTTGCACAGCCGTTGCAAAAGGCTATACCAAAAGGGACCTGTCAAAAATTATATTGGTCCATATACAAGGTATCTTAGTAAATGCGAAGAAAAATTGGATTTCGATGAATCTTTTGTTTCACTTCGAGTGAAAGTTTTTGGTGAGGAGATTCAAAGGTCAATCTCACCAGAAGAGGACGGTTGAATCTCGTTGTACTGCAGCCGCTTAGCTTTTATACGACGTTGAGATTGATGTAGTCCACGAGACATCCTTCCTCGTTTCAGGTAAAAGCGGGCTGCATTTTCGTCCATCTGTCATTCTCCGGAATTAAGGGAGATTTCTTCGAAAACAACGTCAACAAGAAGATTACATATATATATATATATATATATATATATGAATAATAATAGCTTTTTAGAAGCAGGTTTTTGATAAATTCAGTATAAGCGTGAGAACTACTCTTTTTTTTCGATGTCATAAGTAAAATTCTCAGACTAAGCATATTATTTGGGGAAAATTAATCTTAATGGAAATAGGATTTAAAAGTATTATAACCTCGTTTTCGCAACGGTGACATATTTTTAGGGTATTCTAGCTAGGATATACCAAATCCACGGTTCATAACTAATATGACATCAGACTAGGTCTCCCTGTCGACATGACCAAGTTGCGAAATCGAGGTCAGACCACTGCTAAACATTTAAAGGAGACTGCGACCAAAATAGAGGTCACAACGCCTTGGTCTCCATACCTAAGTGTGGAGTAAGCTTTGTTTAATAACTCCATAAAATTGAATTAGGTAAACTGTAGGAAATGGCTCTTCGTGGGTCTGAAATCACCTCAGTATCCAGGAGAGTCGGTTTTGACCATTCTGCCTCGCTCCTTGTCTCATGACCTTGTAGACCAACTAATCCGTTTCCCCGATAAGGCAGTAGTGACATTGCCATGTTCCCACCATTTGTTTCGGTACCTGATCGGATTACACCAGTAGACAATGAATCAGGCGATGAAATTGATGAGCTAGCCACCATCGGAGATTCATTGAATCCGAGTGAATTTGTTGGTGACACCATTGTCGTCATCATCATCATCATCATCATGGTCTGCGCAGGTGGCCATATTCTGGTCGACATTTCGACACGAAATACAACGTTCTCTGGCCTAACTATATTTGTCAGCTCGAAAGCGGATTCTTCCGCTAAATCGGAACCGATTTCTGGTACAGCCTCAAGACCTGAACGTCCAGACTGATTTGGGGATTGAGGCCCATTTCCAGTCAAAGAACTACCGGGTTGAACGGAGAGGGAGCGGCCGATACGTGTATAGGCGCTGATCACAGTAGAAGGGCTCAGTTTCCAGGAAAGATGAACGGCAAGGTTGTCAAAGAAGGCAGTGGCATTTGGAGTCAACTCTGGAGTGGTCTCTTCTACAAACCAGACGGAATAAAAGAAGGCATGAACAAACGGATTTGTAGGAAAGGTGAAAAATATGAATGCAATAAATCATAAACTAGAGAGGCTGAAAGATAATTAAAAACCAGATGATACAAAACTAAATGCACATAAAGAAATTTTGTTGAAAATAACTAACCTGGTATTGCAGGCGTAGTAATTGGGAGTGGCGATGGAGGAGCGAGCCGAGCTAAATCTTCAGCTTCAGGGGTTAAGATGAACAAAATGAATTAGAAAAAATTATAGATTAGTTATTGAATTATGTAAAATAAGATGGTAAGAAGAGGCGAATGAGTATCGGTATGAGAGAATTTTTGAAATAGTTGTATAAAGAATGTAATGGGGCATAATGAGAAGGAGCCAATAGAATAATGTTTCAATCAATAAAAGTCTATGATTAGGCCAGAAGAGCATCTAAAAATCGAAATGTTACCACAAAAACTGAAATACTAAATAATTCAAAGATCAACAATAAAACAAAATATGAGCACAAAGTCGATATAAAAATAAATATGAATGAATAAACAATTAGGGCTAAATTGTGAATTCGCTTCATCTAATATAATACTGTTGTGATGACTTCAATTCGTGTGATCGTAAGTCAATCTCGTCAGAATACAAAGGCTGAATCCTCTCGCTCATAAGTCATTTGATTATGCCATCCCGATTCGGTTGACGGGGACTACGAGACAACAGCCCTCGATTCCGGTAAAAATGAGTTTAGTCTTCGTTCGCCTTGCCAGTTGGCAAGCATAGTCAGAGCTAACTTTGAAGTCAATAACTTAAAGTCATTAAGACTACTCTGCACAGCGCTAAATAGCTAAGAACTTAAAATATATATAAAGATATAAATAGGAAAAATGATTTAAGGCGATTTTCAAGGCGATCCAAGTATTTTTATAAGAAATTAGTCAACCTAAATCAGTTAAATACTGATAGTAGAATTTTTCGATGTCTACTGAGGTTCACTTGGCATTATCTGTCAAACGATTTACTCATAGTATTGTGGGAAAAACTCCACTATACGTTGTTGCATCACGTAAAGTGGCCTAGAGTGAAATCTTCGAAATATAAACTCACATAAAAAAAACAAGGGTAAGAAGCTATAAGAGATTTTAGCATCTAAGGGAATACTAATAATAAAAGCAAAATGAGTACAAATTTGAAATTAAAAAAATATAGGGATAAATAAATAGGTAATAATCTAAGTAGTTTTGAAACCTTGAGAAGTTAAGGAAAATAAGTATTCAAGTAAAGGATGCATTAATAAACACATTATTCGATGAGGCTGTGATAAGGTAAATTCGCTACTATCTCAGATTAAATTGAAGACTCTGGCTATTGAATAAACTATTTTGAACAGTCGCTATTGAAGGTGGCACCAGTTAAAGTGGGAAAATCTCAATCAAGAAATGGGTGGAAACGCTCTACTCTGGCTCTTATAATATCTGTATATGGA